AATGTTGGCTGTTGCATCCCACCAACCAGAGAATAGAGTTTTTTGTCTAATGTTGAAGCGAAAATAAATGTTCAGTGACTTAAATCTTAGAGTGGCAAATAGAACAAAACAAATACAGATTGGAAAGTGACAGGTAGTTTAAATTCTTCCTTCTTCATATTGTAAGATCACAGTTATTACCTAAAGGTGATAAAACGAGAAATAAACATACTCTAGAGTTAGGGAGGAGTAACGTGGGAGAAAAAAAGAGATCTGCCTAAGGAGTGGAGCTGGATTGAGTTTGGAATCTGTTGCTTTCCACTGTAAACTTGTTTATTTTTTACTTTTATGTCATTGATATTTGTTCTGTACCATGTATCAGGCATAGAACCTGAAGATGAGTTTAAAATAAAAATGACAGTTACTATAGCAATGCAGTCTCCTAATTTTTCAGATCTTCATTTGGACAAACTAAGGGGGTTGTGTTTTAAATTAAGCAATAATCGTGCCCTTGTTCTAATGAAGTGATATTTCGTGTTTTCTGGGACAAAGTTGGACTGCTAGAGGCAGAATCTTTAATCCTTGAGGAAATGAATTATTGCCAAGACAATGAAGCAAAGCTGCTATTGTCTGTGGAGTTTTAAAAGCACTCTAGTGTTTAGAATTTTTGATTGAAGTTGTTATGTGAAGGTAATCCAGCTCTTCTCGGGGGAGGAGCTGAGCGTAAGAAAAGGAATGAAGCTTATTGGAAAAACCTTGAAATAACCTGCAGTTAATAGCATGGTTGTGGGTCTTGCCCCCTTGTGCCAAAATTCTGATCTGGACCCTGAACCCTGAATTGCTACCATTCCCTCAGTTATGGTTGCACCTGGATAGTTAGGTTCTTCTGTTGACTTTTGCTGTTTCAGAGTCTATTTCTTATTGTTTAAGAAGATTGGTGTTTTTGCACGTTCTGTTTTATTCAGTGTAGCTTTAAAGCTTTGTGGAGATGCTTGGATGGCTTTTGTAATGGCAATTTGTAAAGTGATTTTTTTCCCCTATTCATTTTGGTGTCTTGAGATGACTCTAGTTCACACCTACTCTTGCCCTGTGTTTATCATTGTTCTTCTTCTATTTTATTTATTTATTTTTGCAGGGACCAGGGATCAAACTCAGGACCCTGAGCTTGCCAGTCAGGCACTTATTCTGCTGAGCTATCTCCCTGGCCCCATATTTTTTTTTTTTTTTCAGCACTGGGGCTTGAACTCAGGTCCTTGAGCTTGCCAGGCAAGCGCTTATTCTACTGCATTGTTCTTCTTTTAACCTGATACAGGAATACTGTAGACTTCTTAGATGCTGCTCTGTGACTTTACAACTCTGCCCTACCAAGGCATGATTCATGTCCCTTGGGCCTGTCGCAGATGTAGAGCTGTTCCTGTAGTTCTGGATTCCTGTGTCCAGCTGGGCTACTTCAGAGAATGATCTGGAAAGTGTGGCATCTGCAGCCCTAGGCCTAAGAGTTGCCATGGGCATCCTGATGGTTCCCAGAGAGCGCCTGGTTTTCAGACTGAACTGTCTGGATGACCTGGGACCCAGCTCTTAGCATCAAAGGGCACTGGGAAGAAAAGAGAGAAAGCTGGGATTTGAGCAAAAGAAGCCAAACCCACTCTGCCAATGCAGGAGTAGCTAGCCCAGCACCTAGGTCCTAAAAGATTTAGATTAGGAAGCACTTGGCTTGTTCCCTGGTGACACTGGACAGAGTTCTGCTTTTGCTAATTTGTTCTGCCAGAGATCACCTTGGCTGTTGGATTTTGTGACCTACATTTCAGGTTGGTTCCAAGAAAAATGAAGAACATTTGCTTAGTTCCCAAGCCCCCAGAGAATTCAGGCTCTGCCAGCTGCAGAGTGTGACTGAGTTTACCTTGTTGCTCTTCCTTCCTGTGACTCAGAGTCTATGGGACTGGTGTGCCTCCCCCACCGCATGGAGCACGGAAGGGCAGGGCGCCCTCTGCTGGCCGTGCCAGCTCTAACCGCGCATCCTCTTGGGGATTTGCTCGGCGTGGGGCACCTTCTCCAACCCTCCTAGGACATCAAGATGGTGGGGACCAGGCCGGGGCTCTATTGATCCTGACCAGGCAGAGCCCGAGCAGCAACAGGACAGCTAAATAATTCTCTGTGGGCGTACGTTCCATAAGTTGTGGCATTCTCTTTTTTCACTTGCAGTCTTTATCCCTCCAACATCCCTGTTTGTTTCGGTGGGGTCCACTTGAACTGCAGATTAGTCGCTGCATGTAAATGAGAAGAAGGCCTTGTATGCAAGAGCTTGGCATGGACCATGGGAAACCCCGTGGCTGCATTCCCTGTCACCAGCCGGCACATTCAAGTGAAATGTCTGCTCTTTGTCTGCATGTGTTAGCTCCAGGGCTCGGGCCAGGGAAACACGTGCCTGGTAGGGGTACCAAGCGGAAAGGGATGGAGGAAGTGGACACACCAGAAGTACTGAGTCAGTGGAGCAATCATCACAGCTTTTCACGTTGCAGGAAACCTAGAGGACCCTGTCCTATGAGGGCAGGAGAGGCAGAAAAGCCTGGGGCTCCCTTGGGCTCTTAGGCCCTTCTCCCACAGCTAGAGTTTCTCTGGCTCTTTTTCTTACAGCCTTAGCTCTTGATGTACCCCTCACTTGGCCATCTTCAGCTCTGCTGACATCTCTCAGTGACACTGCCCCTCCCCGCCAGGTGTTGGTGGTGGTGTCTAGTGGCACTGATCTCCCTGTGGTGTAATTACTTACAAGTCAGGCTTCCCTAGGCTGGAGTTGGTGCTTCCTAACGATTGCTCACCCAACCTGGAGGGCCGGTTCCTTTTTGATCCTGATGAATTTTGCATGGTAATTGAGTGAATGAGCTGCTGGGGTAAACAGGAACTAGCCCTCTTGCAGCCTTAGGTAGCTTAGCAGCCTCCTGGGGTGTGAGCAGAAGAGGAAATGGTAGGGAAGACACTGTAACAGCCAACTCCCCGGGCTGTCCCTTCATTACTTTTACCCACCCAGTTGTAATCGTGCTCTGATTCTTCCTCTGCTCAGCTTCAGGGAACGGTTGTTGCAGTGTTTCATCGGTGTAAATTTTACCCTTTCAGCTAGGTTGGAAATACCTTAAAATCCTGAGTTTTGTTTCCTAGGAAACACCTAAAGGAATGGTACCATTGACCAAGATCATTTTTTTTTCCTGGCCACCAACTAGCTGTGAGGTTTTAGTGCAGGAGTTAACTCCCTTCCAGGCATCTCCTCTGTGAAATCAGAAGGTGGGATGGAGGTCCCTTCACAGGAGCCAGTATCCCTGATTCTCTGCCTCTGGCCCAGTCCCTTTCTCATCTCTCCTGGTACCTGGCAGGGTCCATCCTGCATGTGCCAAGTAACCAGACTTGCTCACCTCCCAGCCTGGCGCCTTACCTACTGGGAGCCCCTGGGGTCAGGAACAGCGTGGCTGGGACAGGTGGGCGGTGGTCTGTGCAGAGCCCTCTGCCCAGCCCTTTTCTCTGCCCCTACTAAGAAGCGACACTGCTGGCCCCTGAGTGTCTGCTCACTTTTGTGCCTATGTGTGCTGTTTCAGGTTTTGGACTAACTTGGAGGAGGAGGCTGACTTGTGCCACTATCCGGGCATTGGGAGGGAGGGCAGCACCAGGGCCGGGGCCACCTGATGCCCCAGGACCTACACTCCTCCTCCTCCTCACTGCCTCTTCGGCATGGTGTGGGTCCCCTCCCTGTTCTCTAAGCTGCACAGGGTATAAGCTGGTTTTAAAAGTACATAGAACCCTTTACTTGGATGAATTTTCTTTTTTTTAAATTGTTTTTAAACATTTAAACATAATTTATTTGATCCAGGATCTTGGTACGTAATTTAGACTCGTAGTGATCCTCCTGTCTCAGCCTTCCCAGTGCTGGGATTACAGACACGTGCTACTGTGCCTGGTTTCAGGGCTGGCACTGTACATCCAGGGTTCCAGGGCGACCCAGCATGTAGTACTGGATATTGAACCTGGGTCCTTGAGCTTGCCAGGCAGGCACTTAAACTTATGAACTGTCTCTCCAGTCCTGGTATGAATTTTTGATGGGTTCACAGACTGTTTGGATTACTTGTTTTGTTTTCCTTTCCTGCTTGAACTTTTGGGTTTCTCCAAGACCAGGAGTGGCTTGCAGTCTCTTGTGACAGTTTGCAGTTTGTACCTTGCTTTGTTCCCAGTTTTACTTTCAGCACTTTCTGCCCTGTCTGCAGCTCTATTCAGGCTGCTGTGGGTTTTCTCTGTTCTGTTAGGCAGGCCCAGAAGACTATACAGTTGATGTGAGGAAGAGCCCTTCTGGCTGGGGAATGATGGCATTTTCAAGATTAGGAGCTTAGAATCCGGGCTGCACTGAACAGCAGCCCTGGGTGGGAGGGAAAAGGACACCTACTTGCCCAACACTACCTATGTCAGACAGGAGGATAGTGCAGGAGCCTGGCGGAGACAACAGGAGTGCCAAGCAGGCGGCGACCCAGGGAGACACAACACCTTGCAGTTTCCATGAGTGAATTATTCGCCAGTAAAGCTGGGGAAGAAAAACTGGCTTAGAGAGAGGCCAAAGCTGCCAAGGGAGTAATTCAGTTGACTTGAATTTTGCAAAGGTTAGCTTCTAAATCAGTGGATAAACTAAAGATCTGGGGTGAAGACAGAATCACCTTTAACAAACACCCAAAAGGCCCTATGATAGCCCTTGGCACCTAACTACTTATTAAATGTGAGCATTTTTGTGTGCCGTCCTTGGCGTAGGGTGAGAGGTCGTGTTCTACGAAGAGTGGCTTTGATACACCACTCGCACCCAGCCGGGGTGCTGAGGCTGAAGCAGGCTTGCTTTCCTCTCCCCCCCTTCCTTCCCTGCCTCCCTGAGCCCACAAGCCCCAAGACTCTCCCACCACCTAAGCTGCTAAAAAACGATCGCTGTGGGTCCTGCTGAATTTAAATGCTGTCGAAAAATTTACCTCAAATCTCCCAATTCTCTGCTTCGTCACCAGGTTGCTCGTGGGAGCCCCTCGGGCCAAAGCCCTCCCACGTCAGAGAGCCAACAGGACCGGGGGCCTGTACAGCTGCGACATCACCTCCCGAGGACCTTGCACGCGGATAGAGTTTGATAACGATGGTGCGTTTGTCTGCCCTTCCTGTGTTCATTTGGCCAGCCCACCTGTACCCTCCCTGCCCATTCAAAGGAAGAAAAGGGGTACAAACATTTTTCTTGCAGAGAGGCCCGCTTTTAATAACATCAGTCTTGATTCTTTATTTGTTTTGCATGTATTTACTTTCTAAATCATGCTGGTGTGAGGTGGTATGCCGCCTCCACTAACCCTGCTTTCACTAATACGATGTGTTGATGTTGCCACCTAGTGGTGTTTTGAGATTCTACAGGAGGCAGTTGAAAATTGACCGCAGTAAAAGAAAATTAACAGCCAGATCTTGTCCTCAAGCAGCCAAAAATTAACACCTGCTGTTACAATTTTCGGAGGAAAGACTTATTTCATTTTGTGGTTTTAGGGATATAACCAGGGGCTTGGAGCATGCTGGACAAGTGCTGTATTGCTGAGTTATATCCCCAGCCCTGAAAAACTATCTTAAATATCAGGCCACTCTGAAGTGAGGGTTGACCAGTGTGAAAAAAGCAGCCCTGCTGTTCAGATAGAGATTCCCTTTGTGAGGACTTGGGGTAGCCGGGAGGTGCCACAGTGTAGGCCTCTTAACGTCTGACTTGCCAGATTCCTGATGGTTGAGCGAAATCATTAGTATATTAAGAAGCTACTACCAAACCTCGTGAGTATGTTCAGTGCAGGCAGATACACAGATTCATTTAGGGTTTTTTGCTTCTTTCAAGGATTTTTTTTTTTTTTTTTTTTTTTTTCTATTTAGAAAACAGTACATCTGATTTGTAGGAAACTTACACATAGCCCTATCGGGAAGAAACAAAAGCCCACTACTGGTAATCTCCATGTGTGGACAAACCCTATAGTCAACACTTTAATGTTCTTCTTGCTGTCTTGAAAACAATTTTTTTTCATATTTATGTGATAATTCAAGTTCAAAATTTGTGTCTTCTCATTGAGGAAGCAAAAATTTGGATATTTTCATAGGAAAATTTGTTGGAATGGGTTACTATTAATCTTTTGGATAGAGTATCATTCAGGGGGGTTAAATTGATACTGACATATGGTAGTATTTGTGGTTGCTTTTTTTTCTTGCTAAAAGTAAGTACTTTGTTATTATTATTTTATGTATTTAGCATAGGGTCTGCGGGGTCTCACTACACAGATTGGATTTATAGTAATCTTCCTGTTTTCAGCTTCCCAAGTGCTGGGATTACAGGCATGTGCCACCATGCCCAGTCTCAGTTGCCGTCTCAGCACAGCATACTGGGAATCGAGCCCTGGTCCCTGCGTCTGCCTAAGCAGATGCTTTAGTCCGCTGAGCTACCTGGCCAGCCCTTAAGTACTTTTTTGACATTGTTAAATATATGACCTGTCACCTGTGACTATATCTGAGACTTTATCGCCCACTTTCTAGTTGTCTCAGTTACTCTTCTCTCATTGCCAGGACAAATACCTGACACTCAAAATGAAGGAAGGCAAGGTTTATTTAGCTCACAGTTCCTGGAGGTTTCAGTCCATACTCAGCTGGCTCTAAGGCAGAGCGGCATATGGCACGAGGCAGCCGTTCATGGCAGTAGCAAAGAGCCAGGAGTAAAGGGAGGAGTAGTGGCAACAGTGGCTGCAGAGAGCAAGTCCTTCTTCCTTCTGTTGGAATCAGGCTGTCTGCCCTAGGCTGGGTATATTATGGGTATATACACCCATAATCCCAGCAGCACTCACACCCATAATCCCAGCACAGGATCATGAATTAATTACAAAGTCTAGAAGCTGCCCCATAACTGCAGGAGGCTTTTGGAGGGGACAACTAGACACAAACCATGACACTAGGGGGCCAGGGAGATGGCTCAGTGGAATAAGTGCTTCCCTGGCAAGAGCAAGGGCCTGAGTTCAATCCCTGGTTCCGCCAAAAATAAAATTTCCCTTCTTGGGACGGGATATATTTCAGTGGCATAAGTGCCTGCCTGGCAAGCTCCTGGCAAGCTCAAGGTCTTGAGTTCAATCCCCAGTATCACAAAGGGGGGGGGGGCAGGGACATGGCTCAGTAGAATAAGCACTTGCCTGGAAAGTGCAAAGGCCTGAGTTCAATCCCTGGTTCCTAAAAAAAAAAAAAAAAAAAGCAGGGGGCTGGGGAGATAGCTCAACAGATATAAGTACTTGCCTGGCAAGCACAAGGTCCCAAGTTTGGTCCGCAAAAATAAAAACATAACACTAGTGAAGAGGAAAGAAAGGTCCTGCTGTTGTGTAACAAACTGGAAGTACATAGAAAAGCCTCTACTCTTTGTTAATTTGCATCACAGCTGGACTTTGCATACTAGATTTTACATGGTTACCATGTAGAGCTCTGTCTTTTCTGTATACTGTTTTTCCTTTTCCTGGTGCTGGGGATTAAACCCAGGTCCTCAAACCATGCTAAACTCATGCGCCACCACTGAGCTACATGAGTAGAATTTTCTGAAGGCTTAGTAGTACCCATTCCTTAGAGCCTCTTCAGAGAAATGAAAAATCGTTTTTGGATTAAAACGCAGTTGGAAACAGTGTCTTAGATTTTTGTTCACCTACTTCTAGCCTGTGTTTGTTTTTATCTTGTGGGGTCGCTTGCAAGTGCTAATTGTGTTCGTGCACCCTGTGTTGCTTTCCACAGCCGACCCCACCTCGGAAAGCAAGGAAGACCAGTGGATGGGGGTGACGGTCCAGAGCCAAGGTCCGGGGGGCAAAGTGGTGGTAAGTGCAGAGGGGCGAGTGAGCGCGCCTGTTGTGTGCCGGCGCTGGGCGGCTACCTGCGCAAAACAGCCGAACAGCCGTCCGTGGGGGCTAAACATTCTAACGAACTTCAGCTCCACAGCAGCCAGCGACTGGTGTTGACCCATTAAGAAAGCCTTGTTTTTCCCCTTGAATCTTGTTACATAATGAAGCAGTCGATTCAGAGACCTTTTGTAAACATCCTAAGATTCCAGGTGGTCTTAAAAAGGCAAAACAAAAGTAGACGTTGTTTCCGTCTTACTTTCTAATTTAGAATAAAGAAAGGGGGCTTTGTTAGGTGGATTGTGTTGGGTGGTTTTGCAAGTGCTTCCAGGTTGCAGTACCCTGAGCTTTTTGTCATGCTTTCAAAATCTAGTTGCAGTAACAAAATTTACAGAGAAATTTGAGAAAAGAGAGAATTTTAGTGAAAAGTGAGTATTTGCACTTAAGGAGCACATTGTAGGAAGTTGACTTGGATGTTATACAGCGGTCGCTTAGCGCGGAGGTGACCTTCCAGATGCCCCCGCGGTAAGTGAAAATCAGCAAAATTGTTATATTTATTTCAGTATTTATATGTATTTTAAGGCTTTATCAATCCTTCCCACATTCTTATAAACCTTTGCCACACTTATTTAAAAACACTTACAATGTTCCTAACCATTTTCTAAAGTCATAAACCTATATAATTTTAACAACACACATATACTGCACAGAACTGCAAAATCCCAAGGTATAGTGAAAAATCCACGATAAATAATTTAGATGAATATTTTTTTGAAAACCTGTGAAACAGTAAGTCTTGAAAGTCAAACTGCGACATAGCGAAGGATTACTGTACAGTTTTCTTCAAAGGCCCAGGTGGTGGTACATGGAAGATAGGCTATAAATAACCCCTGTAGAAATTATACATTATTTCATCTCTTGTAGCAAGGAAGTTCTTTCTGCCTTTAAAAACAAAAACATAGACAAGAACTGATCTCAGAGTTCAAAGTAAAAGGACTTACTATAAGGAAAACTGTGGGTAGAAGAAAATATCTATGAAAATAGGACCATGGTTTCTGTCTCCAGACCATGGTTACGTTCACGTTGACATAGAGATTTCACTGCCAATTAAGAAAAGGAAGTAAGATATTTGACTTTGTTTATATGGCAGGTAAATTTACAGATAAAGTGCCCATGTGTGGGCTGGGGAGATGGCTGGGTGGTCCAAGTGCCTGGCTGGCAAGTGCAAGGAGCCGGGTTCGATCCCCAGTACCACCTGCTGTGCCAGCCCCGAAACTGGGCATGGTGGCACACGCCTGTAATCCCAGTACTGGGGAGACTGAAACAAGAGGATCACTATATGAGTTCCAGCTGTGTGTAGTGAGACCCTGAACCTAATTAATTAATTAATTGACTTAAAAAAAATTTTTCCCCTGCATTTTAGGGAAGGGCCTACAGGATCTCACTACTAGATTGGACTCACAGTGTTCTGCCTGTTTAACACCTCCCAAGAGCTGGGATTACAGGCTTTGCCATGCCCAGTCTCAATTGCTGTCTCAGCACGCCCTGGGGGCGGGGCCCGCACAGCAGGCCCGGGGATCGAACCACCGGCCCCTGGGCCTGCTTACAGGTGCTTTAATCCACTGAGTTATTTGAACACCACCCCATTTTTTTTTTTAATTGCCCATGAGTGCCAACTGGCACTCAGTGTTTGGGTGGGAGCCTTCCTCTGAGAAGCCACCGGAAGTCCTCCCTCCCCCGTGCTCCCTAGTGAGCCTCTCGAGGGAAGTGCTGCTTGCTGGTTTGGGGATCAGATCCCAGCACAAGAATGTGCTTAGCCGTCCTGTTTAGAATTAACAATTAACCTCTTTATTACTGACAGTTTCATCAGTAACTTAAAAAAAAAAAAACATGTTGTAGACATGAATGGGCTGTTTTATTCTGTTCACAGACATGCGCTCATCGATACGAGAAACGGCAGCATGTCAATACAAAGCAGGAGTCTCGGGACATCTTTGGGAGGTGCTACGTACTGAGTGAGAATCTGAGGATTGAAGATGACATGGATGGAGGAGACTGGAGTTTTTGTGACGGCCGATTAAGAGGCCATGAAAAATTCGGTTCTTGCCAGCAAGGTGTAGCAGCCACTTTCACTAAAGACTTTCATTACATAGTGTTTGGAGCTCCGGGTACTTATAACTGGAAAGGTACGGCGTTTTTATTTGCAGATATGTGAATATCTTTAAAATTTCCATAATATGTCTGGTGATTTAGTACATTTCAAGTTAAAGCGTGTTATCAGGCATTTGTATAGTATAAAAGTGGCGCTGTTAAAATCTCTAACATGATAAAGAACAAATGATACAAACGTTTTAGTCTTGACTGTCGCTTGATTGGTACTTTAGATTACTATAAGTGGTTATCATTTTCCATAGTAACATGACAGGTCATTTCTCATGGTTTATGTTTGTTTTGTGGAGCTAAACATTATTAAGCTTGTGATCTTAGAGCTGAAGATTAAGTGGTGGACACAAGGAACAGTGTATAAATATGGACATTTTTTGAGTTGCACGTTATTTTAAAAGAATGTGCTTCTTACTACAAATGTGATAAAGCCAGAAGGACAAGTGACTGTCACAGAATGGGAATTTGGCACTGATCATTTCAGACAATTAGAGGAAAAGCTCCTTAATGATATTGTCTGGTCATTGTGATGAGTGGAGAGGCCCTGGAGGGAGAGAGGGCAGTGACCCGCCCTTGCTGGCCAGGGAAACCTGCTCAATTCCTGCAGTAAAGTTTAACTTCTCTGAAGAAGTCAGATGTAGAAAACTGTCATAAGCAGAGTTTGTTAAGGTAGAGAGCCCTCTGCAGCTCAGGAGACTATGCTGCTGACCTATTTGCACACGTTAAATTTAGAAGTAGTCTTATTTTAGCAAGAATAGATGCCATGTATAGTGAAGTGGAACGAAACACCAGCAGGTATGTGTATTTTAATTCATAGGGAATATGTCTTACCTGCTTTATCAAGTCTTACTTAAAATGTTGCCATTTTAAAAGTCATATTGTGATTTGTGCTTACTATATGAAACCTTTTAATTGTAAAAATATTTAGTAGCTGTAAGAATTTTACAAAGGATGTTTTGAAGAGGAAAAAAATCAGTGTCTTTCACTTTCATAATACAGAAAAGAGGCCAGGGAGGTAGCTCAGTAGAATAAGTGCTTGCCTGGCAAGTGCAAGGTCCTGAGTTCAATCCCCGTACCACAAAAAACAAACAAACGAAAAAATAAACTTGCCATCTTTGGAGCTGGGGAGATAGTTCAGTAGAATAAGTGCTAGCCTGGCAAGTGCAAGGGCTTAAATTCAATCCCCAGTTCTGCAAGAAAAAGAAAAGAAAAGGAAGCAAGCAGGGTGTGGTGGTGTACATCTATAATCCCAGCACTTGGGAGTCTGAGGCAGGAGGATTGCTGTGAGTCCAAGGGCAGTCTGAATTACACATTGAGACCTTCCTCAAACAAAGAAACAAACAAGCAAAATTGAGTGAGGATTCCAGAGAGCATAAAATAGATACCACTGATACCAAGTTCATGTCATTTAAAAAATTAATTTCCTGTGGATTTTGTCATCTAAGTAGACATTCCATTTTCCATCCAGTCTTATGGTATTATTAAGATAGTCCATGAATTGGTAGCTCATAGGCCATTTTTAAAATTACTATAACACGTCTTTCACATAAAAATTTACATAAACATGTTTAATAACCTTAAAGTTCACCTCTCGCTCTACCTTGTCTTTTTCCAACCTCTCTTCCCTATACTCCCCGATAGTGTTATTAGGAACCATTTATTTTAGTTGTTTCATCTTCAATTTTTTGTTGTTGTTTTTGCCATTTCATTCCTTTAGGGATTGTTCGAGTAGAGCAAAAGAATAATACTTTTTTTGACATGAACATCTTTGAAGATGGGCCTTATGAAGTTGGTGGAGAGACTGACCATGACGAAAGTCTCGTTCCGGTTCCTGCTAACAGTTACTTAGGTAGGAGGAGCGCAGGGGGTGCCTGCCTTTGCAGAGGTGGTGTGACTCAACGCCAGAAGCCCGGCAGGCCCTGGACTTGTAGGCTGACAGGAGGCCAGGTGGAGCCAGGGTCAGCGGTGGCTGCGGTGATCTGGGGGTAACCTGCCAGCTCCCCAGAGTCCTTCTCTTCTGGGCTTCCTCAAGGGGAAAGGAAACCCTTCATTACTAGCAGGTTTCTCTGAAATCTGAAGTGGGCCGTTCTCACAGCCATGAGAAAATGGCTGTTCTGGCTGCCTTCCTTCTCCCTTCAGGCCCCTCTCTGAGACCTTCTTAAGAGCTACACTTAACAAAGTTCCTCTGCGTTCAGGCCCTCTAGGCCCTTGCCCTGTGATTGCCCTTCTCTGAGGGGTGGCCCTGTGTGGACAGGGCCTCCTGTGTCACAGGGCCTGGTGGGTGGCGAGGGCTTCCCAGTCGAGGCTGGGCAGGAGTGCTAAAGCTGCTGAGGACACCCGGCTTGTCTAAGTGCCGATTCCTTAACTCCTCAGGCTTGTTTGCATTACTAATGGTGTCCTAAATTATTCCTGTGCATTATGGTAATTACACAAAGGCTTTTAAAAGCTTTAATTCTGGTATGAGTTGACATAAAGAATAATTACTGTGCATTTCTTGGAAAAAATGTAAAAAATCTTCAAAACCTAAATAGTGACCTATTTTTTAAAAACTGGTGAGGGGGGTAAATGTACTATATGGTACCAATATTACAGGAACAATGGAAGGTAAGAAAGGAAAGAAGGCATAGATGTGTAAACAGTTCTGAACAGTATGCTCATGAGCACATCCGAAGTTATTCTAACTGTATGTATGAATGGTAGTGTTAGTAAAAAAAAAAAAAAAAACTTTTCAATTCACATACCCCATACCCCAGCCCCCAATAAAACTTGACATGAAAATACAAAAGTAAAGCAAAACTGCTATTTGTACAGTACTTTTTGTGTTTGGTAAGCCAAGTACTGTGCACTCAGTGCTTTACATATCTACAGTACTATAAAATAATTATTTATGGTTTTCAGATACATCCTCTTTTTTTTTTTTTTTTCGGAACCAGGGATTGAGCTCAGGCCCTTGCACTTGCCAGAGAAGCGCTTATTCCACTGAGCCATCTCCCCAGCCCCTCATCCTCCTTTTTTTAAACTAATGAGTAAAACTAGGACCCACGAAGCTCCATTTTCTAGCCAAAGTCACATCATTGTCCCCACACCAAGGAAAGAAATGTTTGTGAAACAGAGAAGCCAGGAAGCAGCTGGGTGTGTGGACTGCTGTGCTCCTAGCCTTGAGGGCCAGCAGGGGCGCTCAGGAGAGAGGGGTTCCCAGCCTCTAGCAGTAAATGTGGCTTTTCCAGGTAACGTACCTTTTCAAGGTAGATATCAGCAAAGCAGTTTCACTTGAACCAATATTCACCAACACCCTTTCTTCAAATGTGCTTCTTTAGGGATTTTGTTTTATGACGGTAAGTATTTAATTTCAATGATTCTGGACAAGAAACCAACACTTTGATCTTGAAGGTAGACCCTCGTGGGCTTTATAAACATAGCTGCTGTCGGAGCATACAAAATTGTAAAGAAGCATTTTTTTTAATTATGTATATTGGCCACTGTTAGAATGGATTTTCTCAAAGGTGGGTGTCCAAGAAAGAAACCAAGTTTCTGCTGCTACGTTTTGTTCATCTGTGCTGCAAGCAGAGCTGCCATTTCAAAGGATCAGTGGGTTTGGGAAATAAAATGTTCTGCCTGAGGTTTTGGAAGGCGGCAAGGAGAGCCGTGCGTGCCAGCTGCAGCGGCGGCCTCATCATCCAGCGAGGCCGGCGGCCGTGCTTCTGTCTCTTACAAGCATAATTATTTTTTTCTTCAATCTCTTCTGTTCCATGCATGTGTCCAGGCCTGCTGTTTTTGACCAGCATTTCCTATACAGATCCCGATCAGTTTGTTTATAAAACACAGCCTCCCAGGGAGCAGCCTGACACATCCCCTGATGTGATGATGAATAGCTACCTAGGTTTGTGACCTCTGAGATGACAAATTGTCTTGGTCATGGTCATTCAGCAATTTTTTTTTTTTTTTATCCATACAGAGTGTAAATCTTTTTATTTTCTATTTCATTTCAAGTGAAACACACAAAAAGCATGCTGCGGTTAAGGCTCTGCTACCGCATGGTTTTCAGAGTCAGATTCAGTGATATCTTCGCCCTCCTCTAAACTTTGGGTTCATCACATTTTCAGCTCACTTCGCAATCTGAGAATTGCAGCAGTAGTGGTGAAGCTTTCCGTAAATAAAAGCTATTGCAAGGGGCAAGCTTATATTATCCATTGTATCCGCCTCATCTTTCTATAGAAAGAC